ACTGACAGTAATAAAAAGGCTGAGGCGACGTTACAAAGAACAGACTGCAAGTTTAAAAACGTTCCGTAGTTTATCCTTTTCATTTTATAAAAGGAATTATTTCTGTGTTTTATTCTCTTAGCTGTCTGTTATTTACCTACACATTACGGAAAAAGGAGGATGGATCTGCACTTTGATAATTAACAACGACACAGGCAGACAGTGAGCTACACTGTCGAAAAATTTGTAATTAGTGTATTTTGTAGCAACATTTTGAATGACGATTTTGCCCGTAGAAAGTTTTGGCCTGAAGTACGTATGTTGTTGATTTTCCCGATATACCTACAACAAATATGCCTATAGTTCACCGGTGATGGAATTTAATACGAAGACAAAATAGGACATGTGCCTGCCAACAGATCGCGCAGAAACTACAGATTTGTCATATAAGTTTGACACATACAACCTATAAAGGAAAACTTGCAAAATTTTCACCGCAGGCTGGATTTGAACCAGCGACTTTCGCCATCTGTACTGGCACCGCCTCTACCAACTAATCTTCAGCGGCTCACTCCAAACCCGAGAATTAAGCACTTATTATAGCAGACTCGCGTTAGTTAAGAGAAGCGCTTATGTAAATTTTTCAAATTATTAAATGCGGGTAGCATAGCTATAACACTGTTGCACTAAAATTCCTGTCTAAATCCCTATAAAATCCAATATGCTTGGTTGTCATAAGGCATTACTGCGAAGTTGGCTCATTAGTTTGCATACTCCAACCACAAAATAGAAAGTATACAGAAGGGTCACTCGGCCCTATTTAGGATTTTTGCGATCGTCACATGTTACATTGCCAGGGTTGCGACTGTCAAATATCTCAAAGTACAAAAAAAAACGGGAAAATCTGATACAAGAACGTTATATGATTCTGAGCCAATTGTAATCCAAGAAATATGACGTTCGTGGCAACCATCTTCTTAGTTACCATGAGTTCCTTTGAGATTTCATTTATTTCCAGTAAGCGTCAAAATCGTCACTAGTACTGAGTGAGCCATCTACAAAGGCGCCCCGCGCGCCTTTCTCACTAATTTGTGCTCCAACTCGATCGGTCGGATAGTCCCATTTATCTTGGGTTTTGCATTTTATAGCCGTGTGGTAGCGGCTAAGAATACTGCCGCCCCTAGTCCACTCAGGGCGTTTCAAAAAGGCGACGCAGAGTTTTTGACCTCGGCTGAATATCTGTCGACTATGGTCAACTGCATAGTAGCAGTGATACCACCTACTTTAGCATTCGCAAAAGCAGTTGGTCGTAAAACAACAAAGCTACATTTATGCAAAAAACATGTTTCACCGATCCCAACTGATTTTCGATAAGGCCATAAAGATGATGATTTTATTAAAATCGTGTCTGAATTCCTCGAATATCCAATTTGCTAGGTTGTCATAAAGCATTGCTGCGAAGTTGGCTCATCTTAGTTTGCATACCCTAACTCGATCGTTCGGGTAGTCCCATTTAACTTGGGTTTTGCATGTTTAGAACCAGTGAAGATCGGGATCGACGTAGATTCGAGCAGGTTTACAACGGCGAAACGTAGAACAACGAAACTGGATTTAAACATGCATAGGTACAAATCTCACGCCTATATACCTTGCGGGGAAGACATAGCGTAAACGGATGTAAAAAAACTGCCATTTACAACAAGTCAGACAAAAGTTTGAGATTCATTCAGGAGACTGTGTACCATTTTATGGAAAACTTGCAAAATTTTCCAGGCAGGCAGGATTTGAACCTGCTATGCAATCTTTGGCATCTGTACTGCCGAGGCCACTACCAACTGGGCTACAGCGATGCTATCCTAGCCTGCGAATTAAGCAAGTATATCTTGGCCACTAACGCACGGCTGGGCTATATCTAGCAGGATAGTTTTGCAACTAATTCCGAATTGGATATAGTCAAACGATGAAAACCCGCTATATTATGAATACCAAATTGTAAAACACTTCCAGTGTCATGTAGACAAATCTTGGAAAACTTGCAAAATATAATTAAATCTACCCTCAAGATGGCACGCATTAAATCAACAACCTGTATAGAACTAGCAGCCCGCCAGCAGTGCTGCCGTGTCAAAACAACATACTGTAAAGTCCAATACAGTGTTTTGTTTCTATAAAGCCAATTCGCTATCTCTTCCCCTCCTACATGTTCCCCTAGAACATTGTTTTGTGTTAAATACTATAGTTACCAAGATATTAGCATGGAAAAAACACTGTATGTCTAAAAACTTAAAGTTTATAATTGCGTAACACTGTACTCGCCGTTGCAGTGTTTTGATTTGACAAAGCCACGCGCTAGCCGCAAAACTAATTTCACACTCTATGTCTATAAAGTCAAGGTCTTTAATTGCGACTATACTCGCCGTTACAGTGTTTTGATTTGACTAACTCGCGCACGCGCCGCGGAGGATATCACGCTCTCTCCTAAGTGTTTAGTTATATCAGGTGTAAAAAAATCGAATACAAATATTTTAAGGGGTGAATCAGCCCATGAAACTAAACAACATTCCCCAAGGAACATAGGTCGAAATATGAAAACAAATGGGCCTCCCATACAAATAAAATCGGCCGGCTGGTACATTTTGTATGGGAGGCCCATTTCATTTGTATGGGAGGCCCAATTTTTTTCAGTGTTCGACCTATGTTCCTTGGGGAAAGTTGTACAGTTTCATGGGCTGATTCACCCCTTAAAATATTTGCAGTTGATTTATTTACATTCTGTATAGCTAGACCGTTGAGCTAGACAATCAGTTTGTTTGGGAAAGTTGTAGGCCTTGATGAGACTTAAATTTTATGTAACAGCTGTCAAACTAAAAACTCGTTTATCTCGGCATATATTCATGCTATGCTAAACAATCAGTTTGTTAAGGAAAGTTGTAGTTGTAGGCCTCGATAAGACCTTTATTTTATGTGACAGCTGTCAAACTAAAAACTAGTTTATTTCGGCAATCATTCATGCTAGAAAATCAGTTTGTTTTGGAAAGTTGTAGGCCTTGATGAGACCTTGACTTTATGTGACAGTTGTCAAACTCGTTTATCTCGGCAATCATTCAAGCTAGACTATCAATTTTTTCGGGAAAGTTGTAGACCTTGATAAGACCTTTATTTTATGTGACATCTGTCAACCTAAAACTCGTTTATCTCGGCAATCATTCAAGCTAGACTATCAGATTGTTTGGGAAAGTTGTAGGCCTTATTGAGACCTTTATTTTATGTGATAGCTGTTAAATTAAAAACTCGTTTATCTCGGCAATTATTCATACTAGACAATCAGTTTCTTTGGGAAAGTTGTAGGCCTTGATGAGACCTTTACTTTATGTGACAGCTGTCAAACTCGTTTATCTCTGCAATCATTCATGGTAGACTATCAGTTTGTTTTAGAAAATTGTAGCTCTTGATGAGACCTTTACTTTTTGTGACAGCTGTCATCACGGCAATCATTCATGCTAGACTATCAGTTTGTTCGGGAAAGTTGCCTTTACTTTATGTGACACCTGTCCAACTCGTTTATCTCGGCAATCATTCAAGCTAGACTAAAAGTTGTAGACCTTGATAAGACCTTTATTTTATGTGACAGCTGTCAAACTAAAATTCGTTTGTCTCGGTAATCATTCAAGCTAGACTATCAGATTGTGTGGGAAAATTGTAGGCCTTGTTGAGACCTTCATTTTATGTGACAGCTGTCAAACTAAAAACTCGTTTATCTCGGTAATTATTCATGCTAGAATCATTTTGATTGGGAAAGTTGTAGGTTTTGAGGAGACCTTTATTTTTTGTGAACAATCAGAAAAAGATCTTATAATGTACAACTTGTGTACAGGTCAGAACACAGTTTGAACCAGTGTTTCATTACCACAAATACAACCGCAGTTGGGTCAAGTCAAGTCAATACACTGCAATGTACAGTACAGTGTTTTGTCGTGACAAATCGCAAAGATTTTTCTAGCTGTTGTTAAAACAAAACAGTTTTATGTAAGTATCTCTATAAGTCTTATGATTTTAGTATATATTTTTTAATGGCTATAAAGATCTTGACACGTGAAATCTATATAATTTCATTTTATTTCCAATATCTTCGAAAATCATATAGAAACCATACAAAAACCAAAAAAAATGTTTTTGTGTCCGTTCTCAAAACTTGAAATTTGAAGTAACAGTCTAATGTTTTGACACGGCAGAGTGGTGTCCGCTGCGAGGTTTAGAAGGAGTTAGCGATGTCCATGGCAGACAGATAGAGTAATGCAAAAAGTTACTTCATTCTATATTGCCTGAATAGAATATGGCACATGTTGGTTCTATAATAATAAATTTTCAGCTTGTAAACATTTATTCCCTGTTCCCCATATAAAAAATATTGACACAATTTTTGTGATGCCAATGTACGAATACTCGGGGCTGTTAAAGCCAGTAAAATTTTACACGTTTTTTATTAAGGTCTGCGCACACTGGGCCAGTCAGTGGCCGCACAATAGGTACACGCGGGCGTGCAGGCGGTCAGAATGGCAGAATTTACGATGCTATGCCGACACCCTTATCTTGTGTTCTGGGTATGGTAATTGGATTCAATACTGTTGGAACTGGTATAATGAAAATATTAGCTTATTGCACTCAAGAAAGAACATGCGCGAAAGTACTATAAACTGCAAAGTAAAAATATGTTAAGAAAAATGTACGAATCGTTAAATTAGATATAAAATAAACAGAATATCTATTGGGATTTTAATGCACTCACAGTGCTATATTATTCTCACAAGTGAAAATAAGAAATAGAAAAAAATAATAAAATAGCACTGTGAGTGCATTAAAATCCCAATAGATGGATTAAACAAGCTTCATCATATGGTTTGAATTCCACTCATAATGTGGACTAACCATGTAGTAAGTTCTAAATACTTACTATAGATGTCGCTGGATCGTCGCTTCAAGACGAGCATCAAGAGATAGAAAATTTGCCATTCATCGACGGTGCATCGATAGCTCAGTGGCAGAGTGGTGGGGCGTTTACGCATGCGGCCCGGGTTCGATTCCCGGTCGATGTATGACATTTTTTCTATTTCTTATTTTCACTTGTAAACAGAATATTTTTGGGAATAAAAAGAAAACAAATTACAAGGCATAAAAAAGTTGTGATTAAAACTTTCTGTACTGACATTTGCTTCAATGCGTCATAATCCTCTTCTTCTTTCTTTTCGTGTAGAATACAGAGTCGATGAACGACCCGATGATCCCTGGAGCCAGAGTTTCTTAGCCGCTTACAACAGTAGAGTGGAATACATTTATATCCAATACTACAGCCATTAAATAAACTCCACTAAATACAGTATCAAACGAAATACCTTATCAAGAAAACGATGTCCTGCTGAATGGAGCGTCGGCAGAGAGTCGGCTACCAAAGGTAGCCTGACCCCTCCCTCCCCCCCAATCGAGGGGGAGGCCCAAAGAGAGTGCTCCAAGCAATTTGCATTTATTTACAGCCACCAGGTAAGGCATGTGCAAAACAAAAGGTTAGCTGAGAACTTTTTGTGGAGTCAGTGGGCTTATTTGTTCGCGTAAATTTTATTTTGTTTATCTTTTTCACTGCGATAAGAAAGGGCGAGGTACAAAACGCCTTTGTAACGTTTCGGCCGGAAAATAAGTTGGCTGCTCTTACGTGAATTGAAAGTGGAGTGAGCGCTATGAAATGATTTTATGTTTCTTTTACGTTTACCATAACTGAAGGAAAAGAAAAAGTTAGTAAGAAAGCCAGAAAGTTGCAGTAAGTATGAGTAGATAACTTGCGCACTTGTAGCATAACAAATCCCGCTTGCATATAATTCAGATGCAGATTTTTGGATTGTAGTATGATTAGGGCATAATTTTTTTCACTACTTTTTGGTATAATAGGTATGACACTAAAAAGAAATACAACAAAAATAACTACACACCACTACATTTGTCTTGTTTTATACGCAGTTAGTCTTCAAAAAGAACTTTACGCTTCTATAAAGCAAGTTTCACTCTACATTAATTCCGTATACAAAGAAAAACACTTTGCTTATGTCTCTTCTTCCGGACGACATAAATAAGACCTAAAAAAAGGAAATACGACGCAATCTCACAAAGGAATTGCAGAATTTTTTTATAAAAATATCTGTTATAATTAAAATATCCCACACAAGATAAACATTAAAAGCTTTCACACACGCTTATGAACAGCTCTTAAAAGGTCCGCGACTTAAGCATACTTTATATTGGCACTACAAAGTGGTAACACAAAATAGAGTATTTACAGAAGGACAGCTCGTCCTTTTACCATTTACACCAAGACTCTATGGCTGTTACTTTTTCTTTCAAAATTTTTGAAATGCAGTAGCTGAGTTAAAAATACTCAGGTACAATCAGGTACATTACTTACATTCATCATCTTCCTCCAACCCTCCTTGGGAATGCTCTTGTTGTGGATTTACCGGCACCATACGGATGGCCCTGGCTATTTGGGCCGGGTTTATCCCTCGGTCGCCTCTTATGACCCCCACGGGAAGAGCCTTGGTGCTATTCTACTCTGCCGACACCATAGGTACATTACTCAGGTACATTAATTACATCAAATTTCAACTATAAAAAAATATTTACACTTGCGAGTCGTCATTTTGCAGTTCGCCCGCACCGAAATGCTGTTGACACTCACTACTAGCCGCATTCGCTTCCGTGCGTAATGACGACGTGTAGATATGTGTGTCAATATAGTGGAATTTCCTTGTAGCCGTCTCTCTGAACTGGGCGCCCGCCAATACTTACCTTGTGGTGGTAAGAAGTAGGAAGTAACTTACCACTTACCGCTTGGCCCCGAGGTATGTAGTACAACAACTTTCAAGGACAGAGTAGTGACAGACTTACTAACTTGAGGACAATGCTTTTATTGGGAAGTGCACATACGATGAAGTTATATTATTTAGAATCTAAACAGATATGACAACTTGGAAGTAAAAGCTTCGGTGCAGCTTTGGTGTCATTCAAACTAATTCAAATTACGTGACAAGAGTGTTAAAATATCTTTTGGAGCTACCATTCCTAGAGATAACATGTCTAGCATTTTATATAACTTCTGATGGTATGTACTATAGTAGTGTATGAAAAAACAGTTTAAGGTTACCCTTTGAATGGGTAGGTGGATTTGCTGGTATTGATAGTACCATCTGCGCAACCAGTTGTGATGTTCAAATAGAATTAAATAGGTTTCTTGAAAAAAGAAAACTAAAAGGATATAATCAAATCTAGGCCCCCCTTTATCTCTCTAACTCGGTAACGGCTAAGAATCTCATGAAATGTAAACAAGATGATACGTTTTTTGGATTAAAATCTTATATTAATCATCTTGAGGCGAAACGGGAATCACAATTTATGTTAAAAAGTATATTTTTGTGTTTTATTCTGGTCAAAATTCCGGTTCCTTGATTCTGCTGACATCTGTGACACAAACATAAAGTAGGTACTAAGAGGAAATAAGGGTCAAATGGAGCAGTTTTTAGGACCCAGGATGCGTAAAAACAACTACAGCGCAGACAATCTCCTGTGTATGCCGTGTGATGCCGGCTTAGAAAAGCATCACCCCAATTCTACTCGTGGGTGTCGTAAAAAGCGACTAAGGGATACTCATCCAGGGAATGGGCAGCAGCGTTCCCTGCTAATGAACCATCATGCACTGCGCTCGCCAATCCGCCTGCCAAGCGTGGTGAGTATGGCAATACGGGGGGTATTGCGATAGGGGGAGGCCCATGTCCAGCAGTGGACTGTTGAGGCAGTTATGTTTTGTTATGTTATAGCCGGGTTCGTACGTAAGACAAGCAACAAAAGCGACTACAACAACATTAATGATAGATTAATGATTAATGACATTTTTATGATTATATACTTGCACATTTTTATGATCTATATGACTTTATTAAATAAATAATAATAATAGGCAAGCTGCCACTGGCATTACAACGGCAAAAATATAACAGACCATGCCACAGGAACTGCACAGGGTGATACGAATTCGTATTTGGAAACTTCTTTCAACAATGTCTTTAAACTTCTGATCAGGGGTAGGTACCATTTTACCCCATCTACCCTGCAAGTATTACATACTCTTTGAAACTCTCATAGAGAATAAAACTTCTGCCATACTTCTGCATTTCCTCTTTTGCTATTGTCATCAAGTTGTCATTTGGCAAAAGTAAGTATACCCGCACAACCGCAACGTACTCGCCGTACGCGCTGAATAATGCGAATGGCCTCGCACATCAAGCCGCAAGCACAGCCGCATCGAATAGAATTGGTGTTCCCAAGAGAGTACTTTCCTCCCAATTTAATGGGTAATTTTGCCGTATGTGTGTATTTTTCTGAAATTTATTTCAAATAACAATTGCTGTCATTTTACGCCAGAGGCACTTTCAAGCAGCCAACTATCGTAACTGCAGAACTTTCGCTGTGCACCACGCATCTTCCCTTTGTTCCCATATGTCCAACTGATCACTTCTACAATAGAACAGGTCGGAATATTTTCTACGTTCTATGTTCTACGGTGGAACAAAACTTTTGAACATATTACAGGTCCCGCTGTTTCAACTTTGAAAAAATATTATTGTTCAAGGAAGTAGAATGTGCAGAAAAGCAAAATGCCATTACGTCAATGTAGCAAAATGTAAAATTGCTAGAATGTAAACGTAACAAAATGTAAAGAAGAAGCAGAAAACATTTTTTCCCAATGTCTAAATGTTAAGGTAACAGAATGTCAATTGAATTTAAAAGGACGGAATCTCAAATATTAAAATGTCAAAAAAGCTTAAAATTAAAGTGGCAAATGTCAAATAAGTAAATTGTGAAAATGTCATTTGGTTATTCTTTAAGAGTGACATAGACTCCAAAAACTTCGAAACTTTCGAAAAGAAAAACTGGAACACGGACGGTGAACAGCAGACTTTACTGGGAGGTAATGTTAATGGGACAGTTTGGCAGCATTGACAAAAAATAAATCTTTTTAAATGGTTACACTGTCCGCGTGTGCTGATGACGTCATCAGCATTATAGTCTATGATTAGCACTGGCTGGGGAATCCGTTCGGTTAGGCGCGTGCGGCTCGGCAATATTTTCGAGGTTCCACAGATTTTCATACAAAGAATCCAAAATTCGGCGAGTGCGTTGTGGGTGTGCGGGTATAAATACTTTCACCTTATAACTCTTATCAAAATACTTAGTTAGGTTATGCCATTTTAGGTTAAGAATTATTTTGCGTCGTTTCATCAGTTTACCGTTAGATAATTAAAAACTAAGTATGCCATCATGATCTAGATAGTGTAATAAATACATTACTACGAGTTTAATCACTAGCCATTTCGATTTTCGAGGACAATTCGATGGGCCTAACCTTGTATGGGCAAATGATTATCACCTTTATATGAACTTCCTAGAATAAAGTTCCAACATAAAGTATTTCTCACATTTTACTCCTGAAACCCTAGGCTAGCTCACTCAAATAGTCTTCCGTTTCTCAGAACAAAAGCAGGCTAAAATTACAGACACATGCAAGATAATATCTAGTCTCTGCCTGAGGCAAGCAAAATACGCAACACGCTTTGGTACACTAACTGAGGTATTTCTCTGTGTAAACTAAGTAGCTAAGTAGCGGGATAAAGCTGTTGTTAAATGTGTACAAACAAAATCAAATTAGGTATAAAATGTGCATAGGTATAACAAAATTACACAGAAAAGTGTGATAAACAGAATCATTTGCCGTCTTATTTCGGTTAAATGATTGTTATAAACTATTTAAGGGCTCAACATAAACCAATTCTTTATACAGTTTCTAAGATTCAAGCTAGTAAATGTTGACTTTGAAAAGGTTGAGGTACTTCTGAGGCTAAAAGACTAAGACTAGAATATAGGTATAAAGGTATTATTTCAAAAGGAGCACGAAACACTTTTAAACCTAATAATATATGGGGTGATTTTGTGCTCTAACGAAACATGTTGAGCTAACTCGCCAACTCCAACTGATTTGGGATAAAGACAGGCTGAT